GAGACGTAGAGCACCTCTGAATCGGCCGTAAAATTCTACCAGTCTACCACGGCTGCACAACTCAGAAGACTTTGTGTAGTATCGTATTGCGCCTTTCTGGTACTATGTTCATTGTACTACAACCCCACCCTCGCAACCAAGTAATCGAGGTTGTAAAGTGGCTATGGCGTGCCATGTGAAATTCCTGTTACATATCCGAATTGAACTTAAAACTTCAGAATTTTTTTTGTCACATGTACGAGTTGTAGTTTTGTGAAAACGGATAGTGATAATAAAACGGATTTGTAGAACAAATTTGTTACTTCTATCGATCCAGCAGAAGTAGGGTAGTAGGTTCTGATTCTGTTCCAGATAAATGACGCAAGGTAAGAATTTTTAATGTTGTTAGCTGCAAAAAGTTTTCTAGTGGGCATAATTACCAACCGGTTTACAAAACACGTGCAACTGGTTTAGAATATGTGGATGAAGTCTTCTGAATTGTTACGTCATGTAGTCCTGTAGGCGGTTACCAAGGTGTAGGAAGAACGTATCGCTCCCATTTTCAGGGAAATCCGACACCTTCAACCGCAATGACGTCACCAAAATTTTTAAGAATGTCGGTCTTACATGTTTGGAGTCAATTCCCACTTAAATGGGATAACATTGTAATGTTTATTAGATACAGTGTGGATTGGACTAAACTGGCTCAAGGCTCGGTTCTATGGTGGACTTTTGTGAACACAGTGATGGACGTTTAAGCTACAGAAACGAAGGAATTTTATTTCTAGCATAACAGCTGTGAGCTTCTCAAGGTCTACCTGCGCCGTAGAATATTTAGTTGTACTCAATACGTTATTATGAGCTGTGGAAGAGAATATTACTGGGTCACACAGTGCAAATGCGTTTTGCAATCACCTAATGCTTAGTTGTTGTTGCAACTTGTTTTAGTCCGGAAAAAGAAAGTGAGGGACTGAATGTAATGGACGGGGCGGGAGGAGGAAATGTAGCTGCCCTTGTCCTCTCCTGGTTTTATCGTGACATGCTGATACCGCGTTTCTTTGTGACGCAGTTTAGTTTTTGCATTTATTGGCGTCGTGAGGTTTGACTGCAGTCAACACGATTGAACCCCTTAACATTTAAAATAAAATGCAATTCCTTTATTTCTTCCTGTTTAATTTTACACTTTGCCCTCCTTTTCCCTTTGGTTGTCTCTTTATCTTTATCAATAGGAAGATACGGATACAAATAAAGATAAAAGAACGAAAACAAGAAGGGAAGAACCGAAGCCCTCTTTGTCATTTTTGACCTGTAGTTGGTGCCAGTAATTTCCTACGAAACGTCTGAAAATCTTCCAATAATACACGGTGTTCCTGACAGTATATTCTGCACTGTACGTATAGTTACGCGACCTAATTCAGGTGTCATTTCGCTGACCAAGGTTTAACGTATTCTGTTCTGTTCTGTTCTGTTTCAGAACTGTACTACAAAATACCTTTCCAGTCATTTTTGTTGGGGGTGAAACACAGTAGAAATATTGTCCAGTTTTTGTGCGCCTATTCTAGAACTATGGCAGTTAAACCGAGTCCTGTTTTATTACCTAATTCTGTAGTATCCATCATGGCCTCTTACGAATCCAGACAACGTTGGCAGCAGCTTCAGTTTTACGATCTGTAGCTGTGGAAGGCAACGCGTTCTGATGCTTTATTGCGGTACGAGCTGTAGGTTGCATATTTATTTCTCTCCTTAACGTAACCTGGAATTTGATCCCTGTTTCGTAAACCTTGAGTTTAAACGTTTTTTGGGTTTTTTTTACCATTAATTGGTACTGTACTTCCCACAAAAATTATCATAAATTTTTTTGGTAGTCATGTGGTATTCTCAAAGCCTCATTAGATAAAAATACTTTGGTGTTGCCCTCTCAACGATAAAAACAAGAAACAACCTTTTTCTGAAACACGTTTTTGCTTCAATATTTTTATTATTTAAGAGTATCAGTGAAGTTAACTAATATTGTCGTCTGTACGAGTTTGAAACTTGTAATTCTGTACCATTCATTGTATAATGAAGAAGTTGTTATGTAGGTAACGCAGGTTTAAGTAACGCAGGCTCTAATAATTTATTAATTCTTAAGGTATTTAGCAACCCGTTTCAACTGCAGCGTCTAATGACATGGATTTGGGAGGAGGCGTGGCTTCTTGTGAGGTATTATACCAGTGTTAGTGGAGTGAGTGGTGAAATTAACGAAACATTTTGGACAAGATGCGATTGAACGGCCGCCACAGTGCGAGTGCAGTGTTATTTTTGCACCATTTTGCTCAGAACATGGCCTGCACTTCAGTATACATATCAGAAAATGTTATCTGTTTGTTTTCCTTCCAGGAAATTAAGGGTCAAGTACCATAAACGATTCATTAGTAGCCCGGACAATTATTTGCAGTATCTGTGGTGTTTCCTGGTTCTGACTGATATTTGACCATTTTCAGAACACTAGAGGTTAAGACAAAGGCAAAGGCGCTTCCACTAGCACACATTACTTTGATACAGATTCCAATTTTAACAGACTTGGCATCCCCCTCCCCAGAGATTTGTTGTGTGTTTCCTCAGCCTCTAGGCGAGTGTCAGGATAGCGCCTTAAAACATGCAACCACCCTCTTATATTCCAAATCCTTACTTTCTCACCGTTCATGACCATCTTGTCATCTAATTTGACATAATGGTATTCACCAAAATTTCGCGCGGCGGTTTTCAGTCCATTGTCATGCAAACACGTACACACTGCTCGCCATGTGAAAAGTTATTTTTGACGGCAGTAACGAGCATAGCTTGCGTATGGCGCGTCGCACTGTCTTTCCTCTTTCCAACCAAGATAAATGGCACGGATGACATCAGTTGAAGGGGATCAATTTCAAGAATATCTTATTCCATACCACAGGCGCTACGTGTAATAAAATTAAAATCTTGTAAACAATTTAATAGTGTGATTGGAAACATATTTGACAAGAAAATGTCACTTTAGTGACTACCAGCTCCTCAGGAAGGACTCCATTCAATGTAGCAAACTGACTAGTTCCTTTCTTAATGTCTCCGGAAGCAAAATATCGCAGCAAAAGAAGATGTGTGATATGGTTGTAATAACTAAGACAATGTTACTTTATTAAAGCCTATTTTGAGGACGGAAACGGACATTTAAAGCAACACAAATAAGGTTACTGCTACCTTTACTGTGTATTTCAAGATCACCGACGAAATTCAGACGTCAGAGAAAAATGAAGTATTGTCAGTGGAGATTCGGCTTTACAACACATAGGTCTTAGACAAATAGAATAGCGATGAATCGCCCTGATGACGGAGGCAGTATGACCTCTGAAACGTTGGTAAACATCGACCAGACTACACAGCTCAACAACCCAGAAGACAGAAATCTTCATACTCATCGCCCTGATGACGGAGGCAGTATGACCTCTGAAACGTTGGTAAACATCGACCAGACTACACAGCGCAACAACCCAGAAGACAGAAATCTTCACTGAAAATACACCTTTCTGGCGTGAAGAGTTGCTGGACGCCCGAAGAAAATAGCTGCATCAGTTGATTAAAGCGTTGTTAAATATACTACGAAAGGGTTAAGTGAGCGGGCCACTAAGGTGGTACAGAAAGAATGGATCGCATCTGAGCAACGACACATTTTGTCCATCTCTGTACAGCCTCAGACCATTAGTGCTGACTCTGAGACTGAAATCTCTTCGTGAAGATCTGAACCGAACCAGAATTTGAGGGGAGAGAGCTGATAGCACGAGTCATTAAGTCAAGGTCTTGTGTTACATTATATAAATTTGTTGTGGAATGAGGAGAAGCATAATTTATCTTTGGGGACGACCGTGATTTTAAACCTCATTATTAGGTTGTTTTTCGATTTTGTTTTAATTGGAGAGATGCCATATGGTAAGATGATCATGAATAGTGTGCGAGGAATTTTAGTTAGTTTAAGGAAAGGAGGTGGTTTGTTTCGAGACACTGTCTAATTTGCCTCAAGAAACTGAGAAAAAGTCAAAATTTTCGGTCAGGATATTAACCCGGTTGAAATTTGAATTGAGTGCTTTCCGAATGAAAGTCTCACACCATTGCCTCTGTAATGTCTTGTTCGTCAATATGGGAGAAACCCTTGCATGACTAATGCTAAAAAAGAACTTGAAGGCAATACCATATCTATTACATGGATCAATAATGGTTGGCTGACAAAGAGAAAAACATCTTGATAAGGTTTTAGATGTTCATAAAACAGGTTTTATGGGCACTCACTCTCTTATTGAAAATCGATAGTCAGCTCCTCATGGAAATCCGCCGCTGTCTTTATAACGTATTGCTTAAAGCAAACGTAATTATTTTAGTTCTACCTCAGTGGTGCATTTGTGTCTTTTTGTTTTCGTCGTCTGCAGTGTTCAGCAGTAAACTTGTCGATGTGCCAAATATATACAGTGATGCAAACAAGTAACATGTTGCAAGTGACCGGCGCAAAAGCAGGCGAGCTGCTCGTACACGCGAGTCATCAGATTTGCAAGTGTTAAAAGTAACAGTGATTAAACGTTTTCACGGTGCATCTGAACGTTTTTGTTTTAGAAGTGTAAGTGATTGCTGTCTTCTGGGTTGTTGCGCCGTGTAGTCTGGCAGAAGTTTGCCCTACGTTCCAGAGGTCCTTGCTGCCTCCAACATCAGGGCCCTGATGATGGACTACACGGCCCAACGACTCTGAGGACGGCCGTCTTCATACCGCAATGAAAACCCCAAATCCTACAACTTAGGGCCTGTTTTCTTCAAGTTCGTACGATCGCCATTTGTACTGTTAATGATAGGGAATAAGCAGAGTCAATATTAACCCCAGAAAGCCTCCAGTGGAATATTTTATTTCTTTATATATATCATAGTATCGTTTACAAATGAAATATTCTGAGTATGCTTTCCCGCGCTAATGTTTGTGACTGATGTGAAAAAGCTTTTACAGATGGCTTATCTTTTTTGTTCAGGGAAGGACGTCATGTGTGAAAGATGGCTAAAACGTACAGCTCTCAGTACAACATTAAGAAAGCAGCACGTCATTGCATGTCTTGCTGACAGCCTTGTAACTTCTTGAACCTGCATTATCAGGGTAGAGCAGGTGAAGGACTCCGACTTCGTTCTGTTGGTAAGTGAATTATTTCTTAATCATGCACTTGAAAAACACAGCTGTATATGCATCGTCATTGTGATTTACTTCTCACATTTGTTTACATGGTATCATTCATTTAATGTGTTGTAATCTCGCTGAAATAACACACAAAGTCCAGTGATCAACCTGCATGAGTAAGATAGAACAGCTATTTCCAGTCACGACGAGGTAAGTTGGCGAATGGCATGAAAGTCAAGGATAACGAGATTTGAAATGTTGGTCGGTTCGGTTGCAATTATGGTTTTTATTACTTTTCTTTTCTTGACTAAATACAGGATTATTTTTAATTTTTTTAATATTTTTTTTTAAGTGTTCTGTCTGACGCCAGGATCCTTCCATCCTTTTCTCGGACTAGGACCTGTTCGTATACGTTCTTGGCAGATGATCCAGAAGTGGTTTGCCATTGCCTTCTTCTGTGTGTGAATGGAGTAATTGTTGGGATGCCACGGAGGAAAACTCCTTGTTGCCTAGACCACGGCCTTGCCCAACACAAGTTATAAATTCGGGCACCGCCGGGAATCGAACCCGAGGCCCCAGGATAACAAGGCGAGCGTTCTAACCGCTAGACCACCGTGGCTTCTCAAATACAGGTTGCCCTAACTAAATGTTTCTTTGCGTGGCCGCTGATTGAAACGTGTTATCCTATATAGTGTGCAAAATCTGTATCAAAATGCCTTTTAAAACCGAATGAGGCCACTGCAAATATTCATGAATGGATTCAAAGCGAATATTTCTGTTATACACGTGACCACAGAAGGAATATTTTGTTTATGAATACTGCCGCTGAAAAGATATTTTACTCTGGGATACTATCATGACAAGTTTATTTGTTCATGGATTCGGCCACGGTAAATTTGTTTGTTCGTGAACGGGATTATGTCGATTTCATTAATGGATACGACCAAAGTATTATCCTCTTCTTCCACAATAGAGATAAAGCAAATTTTTGCTTGGAACAAATGCATTATGTTTTGTTATCAGAGCTTGTGAAACCCAAATTTTCACATTTCCTGACAGACAAAAATCGATACAAAGTCCTGTTTATGTATATAGAAGCTGATGAATGTGAAACGTAATAATTATTATGTGCTTACGTAAATTCAAGGGCGAGTTATGAAACGCTGAAAAAATAAAAGTAGATTAATAGCTCGAGATTGGAAAATCAACTTCTGTGTACTGTTACTCCAGTGGTGTAATGGTTAGCATACACGGCCTATTGATTAGGTCCCGGTTTGATTCCACCCGTGCTGACATGAAAAATGAAATATATAGCACATAATCTGACGGCGATAATAGAGTTTGCTCACAAAACGGCTTGTGCATTAAACGCAGAATGCCCCAAGAAGATGTATACGCACACTTAGTGAATGAAATAAAGACATTTTAGTAATGTAAAACATTACGTGCGTCAGAAATAGCACTTGGTTAATTATCGGATCTAGTGTAGGTGTTGAAAATGATCGCCGTTAACTTAATGGCACGGTTAAAAGCGGTGAACAACTGGCTGGCAAGGTTAATATTCCGTATTATAATGTGTTTCAATCTTCCACCACACTTTCGGTTTGTTTGCTCAGCTAGCTCAGACGACTCAGGGTCGCTAACGGGGATCGAACGCGAAAGAAGGTAAAAACTACGTCGAAACCTTAGAGAGTGCACACTTATAATCAATCTGGTCTCCTTCCTTCAAGAGACTCCACACAGTAGTGATTTTCGCGAGAAACTCCACCACGGTCTGCCCACACAGCCCTCATTAACATGTTAAATATCAAGAACAATAACAGCAGAGTAGGCGCACGGACGGACAAGGCCCCGCCGGTTACCGTGTATACATGTTTTTGGGACATTCTGTATACATCAAATATTGGACGGTGCCCACGTAATTGCACTGCGACGAGTCAGTAATTGCCACTGTTCTCCGTGCAATTTGTACGTATTGGAAAGTGACACCAAGTCTGATCTATCCCCAGATCGTCCAGGAGGTAGATTATTACTTCCATCAAATGGATCCAACAGAGGAGGTTTAATGCTGTTACCGGAATACGAAAGCAAAGCCAGCTCCCGAAACTTTGTTCTAACAAAAGAAAAGGGAACGATAAAAATGTGCAAAGTATGTGTTGTTAGTCAAATGAAGGTGTGTGTGGGGTTGCATTTACGCATTTGAACATACAACTTACGCGACAGATTATTTATTTTCAGCTCTAGGAAGATGTATCATTTCCTGAATGTTTTATCTCTCCTTCCTTCCCGATAAAGCAGTGTCCTCGTTTAATGTCTTACAAAATTATCTCTGTCGTCACAGGATGTCTGATTTCCGTATCCGTGCCGTTTTCGAAAGATCAGAAATTCTGAAGATCTTGTTTGACACCGCTGATAGTTTCGGATGCCAATGAGAATGCTCCAGTGTGCCTCAAAATAGGACCACTGATTGTTATGATGGCAATGAAGCGTCAGTTCTTCGTTTAACTACGCTTCTTAATTGCATGTATCAGTGGAGAAAGGGTAGAAGGAAAGTGAGTGAGGTCAGCTGAAACAGAATCACGGTCTAGTAAGCATTCAATCGGGATAATAAGAACACTGGTCTTACGAAATAATTGCGAAGTTAAGGAACCGGAATACGTCATTTCAAAAGACCGCATTTGCATCACGTCCTGAGACATTTTTAGCCACTTTCCTCTTCCGCAAACTGTTTCCCCATTTTAATTTTATCATACCATCTTCTTTTCATACAAGCAGATTGTTTATGAAAGGTTTCCACACCAAAATTTTGCATGCATTTCTCCGTCACTTCTCAGCTCGTGTCCGATCGTATCGTTTCCATATATTTTCCTGATGTATTTTGTTTATATACAGAAAAAGAAAACACCTTTCTATCGTTAATATCAAGTTCGGGTCTAGTATTCTCGTGTGAGGATGAATGTGCGTGATTTATGGAACTTGGCAGTTAGAAGGAAAATGAGAAGCAGTAACTAGGAACAGCCCGATGTAGGTAATTACGTTAACCCCCCCTCCCCAGATTTATTATTTATGCTGGCGTTAGAGCTGCTTTATACAAGCTGCAGCAGCGGTCACACCAATTTATCGATTGGCCACGTATACTCTGACGTGGTCATCCAGTGTTGGCTGGCAACCACGTTGTTCTGGAATCCGTGACCGCATAGCTTACCTCAAACTGTTGCCTTCAGCAGCATTTCCCTGGCAGAACATCTTGATTTATTGAGCGTGTATGTTCTCCAGGGGTGGATAACTTGGTCATCTGACCAATCAGTGTGATATTCAATTGAACGAAAACAAAAAATGAGGGGGAAAATTGTCGTTTATCATCAAACATGCGATATCTTTAAAAAATTGTTTAAACCAAGAAGATACTCCTATTAATATTTTGGTCTCTGTGGCTAGTCTTGCAAGAATTTACACACTGGTGATTAATTTCTGTGCGTAGTTTTCATTAACACGCCTTCTAATTCCGACTGCGTTGTATCTGTCGGATACGACATAAAAATCCCGCAATTTAGACCGTTTGTAACTGTTTACACGAAAACAATATTTAAAATAGCATTTGCCTGTACAGGTATGGCTGTGTTTGTGATCTGAATCCATACAAAGGTTCACATTCATTACAAAGCTGTTTATCAGAAGTAGGATCATGTGCTTTAGAGGTTCCACTCCCAAAGCTTCCCTTGACTCAGTCCGTTGATTACGAAGTTTATTTCTCATCACCATCAAACCGAAAGCTTTTTACTTCAAGCGGCCGCCATTTTGTTGTACATTCCACAAAAAAGTATACTAAAACCTAAACAGAAATTGTACCTTTCGAAGATCTTTGTTCCACTCCAGATGCCAGGACTGTATATAATGTGATGGTAGTGTTGCTTACACCTCAAAAGTTCTCCCGGCCGCCATGTTTGTAGTGTATACTATAGGATATAAAAGGAAAATGTGGTGTGGTTTCTAGGGTACAATGCCCACACCATATTTCATGAAGGTCTGTCAGGTCCGAAGTTAGCAGGACCAAGGATTCTCTGACATGGCACCTTGAGCCTAACCTGTCGCATAAAATGTTGATTATAAATAAAAGCTTTACACAACAAAACAAAACAAGACAAGAATGCGCATAGAAAGGGAGAGTGCAGTGCCGAAGTCAAGATTTATTTCCCGCGCGAAGATGAATTTTGTTTTTTAAGTAGGCCACGTCAGAAGTAAGTTTGGCGTTCTTATGTATCTTTAGGGAATCGTTAAAAGGCGTAGGGGTTGACCCGCGTGTACACTGCACGGCCGTTTTTCTGTTAGCCCTTTGAAGCTGCAGAGGAGAAGTAAGAGACACTTCGATTTCAGGGGGGGAGAAAGAGCATCTTATAGTTAGAAGGTCCCCAGGCAATGCCCGCTCGTCCTTCTGTCAAGGATAAAGTAAGAGTGAAGACGTTAGTGAGATAATTGGCAGAGAAGACGGAATTTTGAATTAGAGAAAGCTGAGGCTATTGATTTGGAAGTTTAGTACATAATTTAGAAGTTCCTACTGAGGGGGTAGGGGTAAATTTTGACGGCGTTAAGGGATGGTAAATTTTGGTTAATTTACATCGGGAGGGCTGCATGAGAAGCATGCAGTGGCAACTTGGAACTTGGGAACCATCTCAGCATTTGCTTGAAGACAGAGGAAAACCAAGGAAAACCTGTGTCGAGATGGCCGCTCGCAGGACCTTCCGGATGCGAACTGACTACTAGCCAGCGGTCCGGCAGACAAAAGAGAAATTTGTACGACCCCTAGGTTTCCCTAACTTGTGCCTTGGGCTTTGTTGATAAAGTCAGGTACATGTGGTACAATAATACAACATAATATGATGAATGCAGGTCATCCGTGTTTCCATGGTCTTCTTCAGCTGTTGGCTTCGTGGCCTGGTCCATGGCAGGGGTTCCGCTGTAGGGTCCTCCGATGAACGGCTGGCTAAAAGTACAGTTTCCCCCCAAAAGGACTTTAGTTT